TATATATATATATATATATATATATAATATAAAATACGAAATATATATATAAATATATAAATACATTATTATAAATAATGTTATAAAAGTTTATATTGAATAATTATATATCAGCAATATATATACCTGCGAGGCCGTGGCCCACCAACAACTCTAGATGAATGTGTTATCCGTCTACCAGTATATCTACTTGAAGCTGGTTCATCTAGAAAAGAGATCAAATCTCTTGGTCCACTACGATGTTCCAAACTTAAATGACCCGCAAAATCATCAGTCACGTTATTAGGATCCCCTCCTGGAATAGATGCACACACTGGACAAACCTATGGCAAAATTAGAATTTATAATTTTTTCTTATAGAATGCATTATAAACAGTATTATATTATATATACATACAACTTCAAATGAAGTATCTGAATGATCTGCAGCAACATGTTCTTGTAGTGTAGCTTCAGTAAAACCCATTCTTGTACAGTAAGGACAAGTTAAAGATTGTGGCTGTTCTACACTTACTGCCTCTCCACCATAATATAATTCTATTAAATAATAAAATAAAAATTAATTATGTTTGAAGAAATTATAGTAGTATATAAAATTTAATAATCAACTTACCGAACTCAGATCTAGTAAGTATACACTGCATAGGATGATCACTGTGGTGACGTGTAGTACTGGCACCTCCTTCGTAACAGTTGGCACACAAATCATAATCGTAGCATACGAGGCACTTATATCTGCGACCCCGAAAATTCCCCTTTAAGCAGGCGTCACAACTTACCCCTGGAATAAATTATACATTAATTCATATTTTATATTAATAAATTTGCAATTTAAGTTTATTATTAGTAATAAGTATATTATATAGTATATTTATTATATATACTATATAATAAATTAATATAATAAAACATAATTAATAAATAATATATAACAAAAAATATTATACATAAATAATAATAATTATAATAAATATACTTATAAAAAATTTTAATGAAAAAAAAATTGATTCTAAAAAAATATTTATATATCTTTCATATATATATAAAATGCATATGCATATAATAACCTTGAACTAGATCTATTAAAGATAGATAGGTTAATTAAGTTTATCTTAAGTATATATATAATTTTTAATATAAAATTAAAAGAGATAAGTATATATAGTTTTTAATTATTTGTATTAATAAAGAAATTAATTTAAACACAAATATAAATAAGTTAAATAAATAAATTTACTTCAAAACATTTATATACATATATATAAATATGTAATATTGTTATAATTAAATGTAATATTTAAAACTTAATTTGTTTATATGTATAAAAAATTGACTTTTAAAATCAAAAAAAATTTCAAAAAAATTATATATATTCACATACATATTCATAATTTTTTAAATTTATATATACTATTTTTAGATTATAAGTTATACATATATATACAAACATATTATAAGCAATTAAAAAAAACAAAAAATTCAATATAATATTATTTTATCATAATAATATTATAAAAAATTAATTTATATATATTATTATATATTATATATATATTAATATTCTTGAACTTTATGTATATATATGTTAAAATTTTGGAACTTAATTCATATATTTTTAAACTTCAATATAATATTTCTAATTCCAATTATGTAACATGTATAAATATTAAATAAATATGAAAGAATACATGTGCTAATTTTATTTGTATATTAAATAAGTAATGACAATGACTGAATATTATTTTATTCATTATTTTCATATTAATATTATAATGTAAAAATCTATTACAATTACGTTAGATGTTAATATTATATTATAAGAATATAATAAATAATGTATTAATTAAAAAATACAAACATGAAAATTAAGAAAATTCAAAAAAGAAATTATTTTAAACATATAGAATAAGAGAAATATGTTTCAATATGTTTTAAAGATTTAACATTGTAAGAAAGAGAAAGGAACAAGAAAAGTAATTTTAAAGAAATCATTTGGCAGAATATCTTGATAGTTAATCAATAAATATTTTTTATATATTTTATTCATTTTATATAATTAAGGTAGGAAAAAACGATGACATCACAAAAAATTGAGTACAATCATCAAAAAGCATTATAAACCCAAAGAAATTGGAGTAAATTTTTTTATAAGTGCTGCCATCTGGCCTCTGACATTAGACCCTTTGGTACAGAGCTTACAAGAAATGTCTTAGGAAAAATCTCATACATTGTCGATTTCGTAACCTCGACGATGAGTCTGCAGAAACTTTTTATGCACATCCCCAAATATCCCATAATCAAAAAATTTTGCCATCAACATAAAACAAATTTAGTGTGTGAAGTGAAGGCTGACTTGCTAGTCAGAAACAGCACACACGTACGTACCGTCATGTCGATTCATTTTCCGTTTAAAATCTCATATACGCCGATAGCGCGAAGTCTCGCGATCGAACGATTTATGAAATATGATTACTGCTCGCCACTGCGTTAGCTCTTCACGTCGCTCGATGTAGCAGATACAATGGGAAAAACATTAATCGTCAAACAAAAAATTTTTCGTTAGAATTTCCAGCGTAAAACCTAACCCAACTAGGCTACCGTGACGTCACACTAGACCTACGCTCCCGGAGAACGTTGCGGGCAGGGTCTCTGTCATTACGGTGTTGCCACATTTGTTATAAATGTGCGTGGGAAATTCAAATATAAAAAATATGATCGTTTCGTTTTATATAAACTAAGTCAATTTATTTAATTATCTATTTAATAAAATTTCTTGAAAGAATGATACAATATGAAGAAAAATTATATATAGATAAAAAGTTTACATAAATAACTTGATTGCATATATAAAAGTGCTTTTATTTTTCATAAAGTATCATTAATATTATAAAAATTATACAAATAATATCAATAATAATTATGATATCGTATTAAATTTACAAATCATTTCAACCTTTTTAATATAAATTATATATAATATATAATTTCAAGATTTGTATGCATATGTACATGTAAAATAATTCGAAATATTTTTAATGAAACAATATCGACTACTCAGTTGACAATCTGTTTTCATAGTTTGTGCCGAAATCTGGCAATCTAGCATTCCTTTTACGAACTTTTCCGAAAGATTCTCGTATGACTTCGTATTCTTTCGTATATAATCGCAACTCCCGAAACATATTTCGCGAAGTTGTTTCTTTTATTGAACAATGGAGGCAATACTTGGACGTGTTTTTGTATATGGAGGTAAAGGTGCTCTAGGTTCGGCTTGTATTTCAAAATTCAAGTCGAAAAGTTGGGTAAGTAATAATAACAGTAATAATAGTAATAATGAATTATTACAATATGTAAAAAAAAATCTGAATGTCATTTTTATTATTAATAGGACTGATTTTTTTTTTATAAAAATTTCAGTTTTTTGATTGTTTCTGAAAATAATGTATATATAAATTATTAATTCATTTTATTTGATTAAAAATAAATTATCAATTGTGCATATATTAACAATTTATTCCTTTTAAATATTTGCTAAAAAATTTCAAATAATTATTAATAGATGAAGATTTATAATAAAAAAGTTTTTTTTTATTATAAATATAATGTATATTTGTTTACATTGTATATATATACTAAGTATGCTTTTTCTAAAATTATTTTATATATTCTTATAAATTTAAATTTAAATCGATAATTTTTTCGATATATATTGATTTTGTAATATTTTTGCATAGTTCATATATTCAAATCGCGGACTAATTTTTCGCGCACTGTTTTGAATATTGCGAAATATAATATTCTTTTTATCTTTTCTGATTATTATATATATATTATTTATATATCTATATATGCATATATGTACTTACATATGTTTTTAATTCATAAATTAATTCATTGTAAATAAATTACATACATTTATTTTTAATTATAATTAAATGAACAATTTACATCATTAAATACATATTACTATATATTTTAAAATAATTAAATATATATTCTTTTTATAAAAAAATAATTTCAACGAAAAATTATTTCAAGTTATAACTATTCTATAACCTTTCTTGTATAGGAAAAATACATCAAGGCCATATTTATCCTTTCACATTGTATATATATTATATCTCTAATATATTTGTTAAACATAAAATATTTATAATTATCTTATTTTCGTAACTAAAAATATTTGTTTTATCATATTATATTTTTTAAATATTCTACATAAGATTTATAATTATAAAATTTTTATTAAGCTTAAAAAAATATTATTTATAACATTATATTAATATTATAATCATAGTGGGTTGGCTGTATTGATATGAAAGTAAATGAACAAGCTGATGCAAATATAATTGTAAAATCAGACAGTAACTGGCAAGAACAGGTAATTTTTTACATATTATATTTTTACATATTATATTATATTTATCTAAATAAAAATTATATATTTTATTATTTAAATTATTCATTATTTATTTTTTATATAAATTATAAAAATTTTAATGATATATAAATATATATATATATATTCCTAAAATCAAACTTTTTTTTTATTAATTAGGAAGCTGATATTTTGCAACAAGTTACAAATATTTTAAAAGGAGATAAACTAGATGCAATTATATGTGTCGCTGGTGGATGGGCTGGTGGAAATGCAGCTCATAAGGATTTTATAAAAAATAGTGAACTTATGTGGAAACAAAGTGTATGGAGTTCAGTTATTGCTGCCAGCATTGCTGCACATCATTTAAAAGAAGGAGGATTTTTATCATTAACTGGTGCTAAAGCTGCATTAGCAGAAACACCAGGAATGATTGGATATGGAATGGCCAAAGCTGCTGTTCATCAACTTACTAAATCTTTAGCAACTAAAGATAGTGGTTTTCCTAAAGATTCTCTTGTTGTGTCTATCTTACCTGTTACTTTAGATACACCTATGAATAGGAAATGGATGCCTAATGCTGACACATCTAAATGGACTTCACTTGAATTTGTTGCAGAGTAAATAACATTTTTTCTTATTCTATGCATTTAAATTATTTTTTTATGTATTTTTATATTTTTAATAATATTTTATTTTATAGCCTCTTTTGGAAATGGTCACAAAATCAAGAACGTCCAACAAATGGAAGTCTTCTGCAATTGATTACCAATAATAATAAAACAGAAATAATTATAGCTTAAAAAGAAAATTATATATATAAAAAAGAGTTATATTTTTTGGATCAAAAGCATTTAAGTGCTTTTTCTCTCTATGACAATATATATACATTCTAAATATTTTATATCTAATACTTTTTATCTTTTTAATTTAATAATATTTCTTATTAATGCATTTTAAATATTAGGATACAATATTTGTATATATGTAAGAATATTTTTCTTTGTTGTCAATACTTTCTTCATTCCATTATGAAACCAATAAAAATATGTAAAATAAAATTATTTACAATATTTACAATATTGTAATATATTTCATTATATTTGTAATATTTATTTTTATATGTATATCTTCAAAAATATATTTACATTATGTTCAACAATTTTATTTGTTACATTAATAATTAATATAAAACTGTAAACAGAAAAAAATGTTTTTAATAATTTCTTTTAATATTAAAAATTAAAAACGAATAAAATAAAATATGTGGCATAATTGTTGTTAAATTTTTATTAAAAAATTGTTTATAACTTTCTTTTTTTGAAAAATATATATATTTTTATAAATGATAAATTATATACACAAGAAACTAAGATTATCTATATGAATTATAAAATATATATACATTATAGCGTTTATATAATAATATATAAATATAATATAATAAATTAAATAAATTTTAATTTTATATTATTAGTATATTATTTATATTATTATAGTACTAAGAGTAGGTATATATTTTGCAAATTTTTGATTCAATCGCCCGGATAGCTCAGTCGGTAGAGCATCAGACTTTTAATCTGAGGGTCCAGGGTTCGAGTCCCTGTTCGGGCGAAAATTTTTTTTCATACAAAAATAGTTTACGATTTAAAAAATTTTTTATAGAATGTACAAGATACAATTGTATTGTATCTATTAAAGTAATTGTTTAATTTTACATATATGAAAGTAAATATGAAGAAATATAAGATTAAAGATATAATTACAATTTAGTATCTACCATATAAATTATTTTATTTAATATATATGTATATACAATAAGAAGTTTATATTTAATATTTATTGTAAGTATGAACTAAAATTCACATAATAATTTTTTTAAAGATATAATATTATTTTAAAAAAACACATTTATACTACTGAAAAATGTAATATATTTTATTTTTTTATTCCTGACCATTCTTCTATCATTTTTGCTTCAGCTGAAACAAAAAAATTGATTATAATATGATTATAATATAAAGTTATTAATTTGCAATTATGATTAAATTTATTTTTTACCTTCTAATAGTTTCTTCTTCTCTTCTGCTAATTTTGCATCCCTAATAGGTTTTTCTTTAAGTTCTTGCTCACGAAGAGCATTTTCTTTTTTACTAAGTCTTCTTTGATGGTAAGCACCATATAGAATTCCAGTTAACAAGAGACTCCATCGAGAAAACTATAAAAAATTCAATAATATAATTTTATAAGAAATATTTCCAATGTTTATATACAAAATATATTAGTAAATATATAAGTAAATAATTGAAAAAGAGAAACAAATATTTATTTAATATTTACTTAATTCATTTAATAAAATATATTATTTAATTAATATTTGTTTAATTTCTATTAAAGAGGTTAGAAGATGAAACATAAATTCAATATTTATCATTAAATATTGAACTATATATGAAATAAATAAAATATAATTTTTACATATATTTAGATTAATATTTATTTATTTAATATTCTAATAAAAATTATGTAATATAATGAATTTAGAAGAATTTACTTCTTCAAAATTATTATTTTTGTAATAAAAGAAAATCTTAATAAATCATTTTCAAATAAATAATATTTTATAATATTTCGGTATAAATAATTTTTAAAAATGCATTATAATAAATAATACTCACTTTAATTAAAGGAGATACTTGCACTGGTCTTGGACCTGCTTCAAGAGACGACATTTTCTCAATGTATCGTATTAGATACTAGAGAACTTTTATGAAGCTTTTCCCGCGAATTTTTTAAATATTAAAACAAAAGTTATTATTCTAAAATATAATATTATATCACTCGAATGTATATTTATTAAATTTAAAAATTTTTATTCATAATAAAAATAGAATACATTATAATTTCTTAATAAACGTTCTTTTATTCTTTTTTTTTTATTTAATGTTATATCAATCATGCTTGCATGAATTAATGATAATCGATATTATCATATAAGTTGATCTAGTTTAAAAACAAAATTTTATTTCAACAATTTATTTTATTATTGTAATTATGCTTAAAAAAATTTCAATATTTTCCGAAAAATGCTATCACTAATAAAAGACTAGTTCATCCATTTTTTATCATTTTGATCATTTTATATAATGAAATATAAATATAGAAATGAAAAAAATCAATTTTATATGCAAAATATCTGAAAAATATAAAAATATAATTAGAGATTTCTGAAATAATTTCAAATAACATTTTTCTTTGCA